CAGTGGGTGTGTGTGTATTGTGGATCTACAGGACAGTGTGTGTAGTGGGTATATATGTGACAGTGGGTGTGTGTGTATTGTGGATCTACAGGACAATGTGTGTGTAGTGGGTATATATGTGACAGTGGGTGTGTGTGTGTGTTGTGTATATATGGGACAGTGGGTGTGTGTGTGTATAGTATAGTGGATGTGTATATAATATGTATATATATAGAACAGTGGGTATCTGCAGGACAATGTGTATGTATTGTGTATATATGTGACAGTGTGTGTGTATTGTGTATGAACAGGACAATGTGTGTGTAGTGGGTATATATGCGACACTGGGTGTGTGTATTTTGTATATATGTGACTGGGTGTGTGTGTAGTGGGTATATATGTGACAGTGGGTGTGTGTGTATTGTGTATATATAGGACAGGGTGTGTGTGTATTTGTTTTTGGTGTTTGTTTTACTGTGGGCGCCTGTCTGTTCTCTACAAGCTCATGGCCAGAGCAAGCCCACCCTGCTGTGTCTCGCTGTGAGGAGAGTGGCCCTCCTGCTTCAGGACCAGCAGCTGTGACAGATGTTCGGGCGGCAGCTCAGAGCGCAACGAGCCTATAAAACGGACTGCAGAGCCAGAAACAGGAAGTCCATCTTCTTCCAACAAGCCTGTGTACCAGCGCCAGCAGGGGCTTCTGGGAGTCACTCCGTGCAGATTACACCAGCATCCAGCAGGATCAATCCCCCGCCCCCTGTTTGTTTCCAGAAACAGCCACAACGACCTCTCTCTCTTTCTCTCTGAACACTGCCCCAGCCACCCAGAACGCTCCCTCAGCTTGTTCCATATGGAGCTTGTTCCATGCCCCCACCACTCTTTGTGTAAAAAAAAAAAAAAAAAGACGCACCACCAATTTGGTGACGCCAATCCCCCATCTGTCGAACCATGGATCTCATTCGCCCATTTATTTATCCAAAAAATAAAAAAAGTCCGGAGTCCGAGAGGTAGGGAAGGGGGAGCAGGGGGTGGGTTTGGGCGTCATGGGGTCCCAAATACCCCAAAAATCCTGGCGCTGGATCCCTTTCAATGTTCTGGGTCTCGGAGCAACCAGCCCCACGTCCCACCAGGGGTCAAGGGTCACGGTGCCTGCCAGCCTGTGCTCTATACGTACGCTGGCCTGGTGGGACTGCAGCCCAGGTGCCACACACACACACACACACACACACACACACACACACACACACACACACACACACACACACACACACACACACACACACACAGTCTGCCGGAGCAGCGAAGTGCATTAGTATGCTCCCTGCGTCTCGGTACGCGCACAGACCCCAGCCAATTATGTGATGGCACTCCAGCGTTAATAGTGCCATTGTCGGGGAGATAATTGCGCTCTGCGCGGCGGTGTGGAGTGGCTGCGCGTGTGTGCGGCCGCTGATGGCTCTCAGACGCTGGGAGAAGCAAGGGGTTCACAGCACAGGAGAGGGGCGCTGTTTGTTCTGGAAAAAGGGGGGGGTGCCTACAGAGATCGGGCTGTGCTTACACACCGCTTGGAAGAAACACACACACACACACTGAGCTAATGCATGTGCAGTTAACACACACACACACACACACACACACTTGGAGTTTCTTTAAGATAAGGGCAGGCAACCCCAGGCCTTCTCTGAACCCCCACACTGCTGCTGAACCCCCTCTTTCTCAGCCGTGACCCCACGATGCAGCCAGGTGATTCCCCCCCACCCCCACCCCCACCCCCAACCTCAACTGCCGGAGTTTTCCAGGTGCTTACCCACCCACCCCTCACCAGCACCAAATGTGACCAAATCTCGTGGGACAGATCCCGAAAGTGAAGACTGAAGACTGAAGACTGAAGACTGGCCTGGAAGAGGAGATTTTCACAGACACTGTGCTAATACCTCAGGAACGTACGCACGCCGATGTGTGCATGCACACAAAAAAGCCCACACACAAACACAAATACATGCGCACACGCACAGAATATTGCAGACAAATTCACACCCAGAGGCATGTATTCACAAATAAAGCACCCAGACGTGCAAACAAACACATGCACAGAAAAACACACACTTGCGCAAAAATACACAGAAGCGCATACATGCACAAAAACCCAAATAGATACACACACAGATCGTGCACACAGATACACGGACTTTCTGGTGGCTGCGAATGTTAATTAGGAGGCAGGGTTAAAGAGCCAACTTATCTTAGTTCAGACATCGTACTATTCAATTTTACAGTGCAATCCCTGCTGGTTCAGAAGAGTTTCTTGCACTTCAGCTCTGAAGCCCAATTTGCTTTGGTTTTTTTTTCCCTTAAGAGAGCGATAAATATGGGAGATGAAAAGTGCTTTTGCAAAGTAAAACTAGTAAAGTTGTGATCATGTCATTATCTGCAGCACAGAGTAATGGCTGTCATTAGGACAGGAGACACCTCTGTCATCTCACATCACTGCTGCTGTTTTTAGCATTTTAATGGATTCAGTCTCATGCAGGTACTGGCACACACAGACCCAGGCTGCTACTGCACACACAGCCTCGCGGTTAGATTCACTGTCATACACAGACACACAGCTACAGTCACACAGAGACTACAGTTGAAAGTCTGCGTGCTGTAGTTGTGTGTGTGTAGTTGTATCTGTCACAGCATACAGTCACCATCACACACTGACACACAGCTACAACTACCTACACAAATTTAGAGCTACATTCCCCGTAACACACAGACTCACAGTCACTATCATACAGCTACACACAGATTTACAGATATGCTCACTGTCACACACAGACTCACAATCACCATCATACAGCTACAGCTACACACACATTTACAGCTATGCTCACTGTCACACACAGACTCACAATCACCATCATACAGATACAGCTACACACACAGGTTTACAGCTGTATTCACCATCATACAGCTACAACTGCACACACAGGTTTACAGCTATCACACACAGTCAGACCGATACATCTACACACACAGACACAAATACTGTCACACACAGCTACAGCCACACACATCAATGGGGACCTTGGCAGACTCACAGAAAGATAATGATTACAGAAACACGTTCCTGTTTTGTTCTTCTCTAGGTGACCTCAGAGGTGAAAAGACAGCAGCACATTCAGGTTGATAGAGGGAAACAGTGTAAATAAGCTGCAATTTGGCCTATGGTGTGCTAACAACCTTATCATTTTAAGACTTAAAGCTACACATCCACAGTCACACGCATAGCTACGCACTCACCACCACCCACAGATATAACTGCACACACATCCTGTCACGCAATCCTACAGTAGATGCCTGGGCCCTGTACTGTCCAGTGTCTGTGCTGCCCAGGGTGACAGGATGGGCTCTCAGAGTCTGGGTCAGGTTGGGCTCTGTTCCCTCCCTCTCTCTGCCCTCAGGCCAGCCTCCTGCCTCCTGCCCCCTGCGTTCCTGTGTCTCCGTGCCCTTGCCGGAG